CCCCCTCGTCTCCTGAGGCTATCCCCCTTGCCGGTTATCAACCGACGCTTTTCCTTTCGGGCGGCTCCTCGCTCTCAGAATTCTCCTCCATAGCCCGTCGGGGATGGCCATTGAAGGAGTCGCTCCCCTCATGGACGCCATCACGGGTAGCGGTTGAGAAACCCCCGCAGCGCCCTCACTAGGCGAACCACAGGGTATATACCCATCTTCAGAATCAGTCCCCGCCCCAGGTAAGGTGACGACGTTCTTTTTCTTCTTCTTAGGAGCGCTCCGACCTGCCAACACGAATAAGTCAGGAAACGAGAGCGTAGGGAATTCCCAAATCGTAGCCAAAGAATTACCTGACGGGCCGTACTGTTGAAGAAATGCAGCCCAGGTACGGCATTCCTCCGCATAAGGTATTATTCTTTCCACCCACGATTTAATGTCATCAATGAGCTGGGGTGGAGAAGCCCTCGCTGCGAATAAAAAAGGGAGAAAAGCAAAGAAATCACAATGGCCGTATGGTCAAAAGCGCAATCAGCCCTGAATTCTACAAATAGAAATACTTACGTTCTGGATTCCATCTTTTCGGGAACCCTTCGGGATTCGACACCAGGTGCTCCGTCCTGATGTAGAAATACTTACGCCAAAAGCGGCGGTTGGGCTTATCATCGGCTTTAACAACTAAGCCCCTTGTGCCCCGACCTTTTAACTGCAGCATGGTACCCCTCAGGTAACCAGCGCTGAATAACTGTAAGAGGTGGTGAACCGAGACGCTGCATTCAGCCCTGGCCGCATAGGTGGTCATTACGGCACACCTTTAAGGTATAAGGAGTGAGCTGGGCAGGACACACATTATAAAAACGGCAAAGCTCCTCCATCAGAGGATAGATTGGAAGATTGTAACCGAACAAGAACGGGTACTCATAGAACGTGCAATATCCAGGCTGGTGCACATTGGCATAGTCCATCCCGGCCGGAACCATTTCCACGTGGTCCGGAATATGGTGCGTCTCTCGAAGGTCATCTAAATGAGATTGTAATAAAACGCTGTGCTCCCAGGGAAGGTCAGGGCTTTTAGTTGGAAAATCCCTGCGAACATACGTCTCCTTCGGAAGGACGTTATCTACGCTGAGAGGAACAAGGGCCTTCTCCGCCTTTTCCCCTTCACCACCGGAAGATGGCGGAACCCTAGACGAGGCATTATCTTTGGCCTTTTTATTACCCTGTCCGTGTTTTGTCATGATTATACTACTTAAGAAACGAAGCACTGACGATAGGAAGTGTGGGTTCAACAGAAGTGGGAGAATCCCTCATAAAATAACGGTTACAGTAAAGAAAGGCAAAGGGGTATATCAGAAAGTGCTTTCCGAAGGATTGAAAATGGAATCAAAAAGAACCTCTCTCATACTTATAGGGATAAGTTGCACAGGAATCGAAGAGTCATGATTCAAAACGTGCGCCAGAAACCAAAATGTCACTTCATCCTCTGAACCGCCTCGGGGGCAAATATAATAATGACGCATACAGGCGATGACGTCATTCCAAAAAGGAAGCCGCGCGTCAGTAGCTCAACAATGTCATATTTTTCACTCCATTCGTATTGCCGCCCCGGGTCGAGGTCAAATTCTCCTAAGCCGAGGTTCACGTTTCCGCCCATCGAAGACGCCCACCGAATGCGTCTCCAACGAGCGGAGGGACTAACTGTATAGGGTCAAATTTGACCCTCAGCATCTCTACGCCAGTAGGTACGCCCAATAAGTGTACGCCTGCCAACGTAGCGGGTACGACTCGGCCGTGGGGGCAAAAGCGACATCGTTTAGGACTCAATGTCTTCACTAGGAAGACGTTACCTGTCTTTGTAACTATTTGATTCTTTCGAGGAAGGTCTCCTATTATATAAAGGAGACCTTCACATTGTAAAAAGGGCATCTGATCTAATACAATTCTCTCATTTTTCTGGCTTTCTCTCTCTATCTCTACTTCAAACGAACGTATCTTATTGAGTTCATACTGTCTCTTTGCAATACTAGATCTACAACAATATTATCATCTTTGCATCTCTAGGATTATTATATTTGATTACGATTTGCCCTTTTTCTACTTTTGATTGTTTTTTAGCTTACAAAGTATATTGTTAACTTTTGAGCCAAACAGATCTTATACTATTTTAGATGTCTAACAGATTTTGAAAGAGAAAAATTTATATAATTTGTTTTACCCCAAACGGAACTCTAACTTATACGGAAAGAGAGAGACGATAGTTAGAGCAATATCAGGGACGTTGAATGATAATAGGGAATAATATCTTCAAATAATTCATAATGGAGAAATATCAGGGAGGTTAAGGAATATCATGTATTTTGGGTAACCAAAAGTTACCATATATACTAGGGAATTCTTGTAACCAAAGAATACAAGTTGTAAACAGTAAATTAATTTTCAATAGTCCAACCCTATAGGGTTTTAGGATCCAATTCTATATATAACAGTAGCCAATAACGAAGACGTGCAGAAACAAAAACAAGAATATATGGAGAAACAGAAAGAAGAGAAGAAGGATTTCTGTGCGCAAGTTACTAGTGAGCTTATGCTGAAGGAGATCCAAAAGGGCTCCAATGCTGAGAACATAGTGCTGTCTCTGTTATCTTACACCGCCGTACTGAACATGACGGCGGCCGGAGCAGCGGGACCTACTTTAAAACAGATGCTTGAATATCTTGCAGTTGAGAATATCGACGATCTGAATACCAAGTTCTTAGATATGGCGGCTATAGCGACGAGCAATAGTGATGGGGGTCCTGATGTGTGCTTCCTTAGCGCACTTTGGGTGGAACAACAACTTCGCCTCAAAAAGTCTTACCAACAACTTGTCAAGAATGTCTACAAGACAAGGGCTAAAAGTGTCGATTTTAAACGAAAGGTACTCCTTTTCCATGCTTGATATGTGATAAATGTGTGTATGAAAAATACTTCTCTTACCTTTACAGCTTGTTTGGATGGTTGTTACACCTCGTTTCATAATATATCGTATTGTATTGTATTATACTGTATCGTTTAATTAGTATAATGTTTGGATAGATCGTATTGTTTGTTGTTGTTTCATGATATCATGCACCAACAATATGAAGAATAAACTGACAATATTATAAAGAAAAATTATGATACGGGGTAAATTTGTTATATAAAAAGGTAGGGTATAGAAATGATAAAATAAAATTATTTAATAATAATGAAGGGTGAGATGAGAGAAAATGACGCAATCACACCAAATCGGTCCTTACATAAAGGCACATTTCGTCGTTACGTAACGACGGACTTAACGATACGATACAATAAAATTTAAATAACAACCAAAACAAACATCGTATTCAAAGTTACAATACGATACAATACAATATGTAACAACCATCTAAACAAGCTGTTAATTGTTTTGTATTACTTATCTATACTTTTACAACCAATATTAAGTATTTTATCTTTGTGCCATTCAAAACAAAGAGTGTATATTACCCCGTTCTATCAATGCGCTTGCGTAGATCTTGAGAGAAGCTTTGTTTATAACTTGAATATTACACATGAATGAATTTATGTAAATAACAGTAATTCATTACATTGAATATTAATTAAATATAGGAGGAGGTGGTAGAAGAAGCTAATGCATGGGCCAAGTGTATTAGGAAAAAACTGAATTTAAATATTGAAGATGACGTGTCATGACACGTGGACCGGTCAAATAGTCAAAGCGTGGTAATCAGTTAGAAGGCACGAGCAACAACAAATGCGGGAGAGAAGATACTTAAAGGCACGAGCTATTATTCAAATGAAACGAGACTCGTACCTGTTTGAGTCATTTAAAGCTCGAAGATCGGAAGGAATTGAAGACATGAATCTGATAGCAGAAAAGAGTCCAAATTCAGTATTAAATGCCAAATACGTTAGAGAATTTGTATTTAATATGAATGATTGAGTAACGTTTCTTTTAATGTCATTTATTGCTCGTAATTGCCTCATTAAGACAAAGGCATTACACTTTCTCTTAAAATTAACTATAAAAGGAGAAAGTCACAACATCTGTAGGACACGAGAAAATATTACTGGAATAAACTTTGTTCTTTTTGCTTTCTGATTATATCATTCAAAATCTCTTTCTTATATACTTTTTCGATTATCAGTAACCCGAGTTCTTCTAAATTCAAGCTTTGACCTAAAATCTAATTTTTGGTTAAACAAATTGGTTCCGTTACCGGAAATCTGATAATTAAGCATATCTCAACCTAATTTTCTTGATTGCATCAATCATGTCGAACAACAATGACAACACTCAAGGAAACCCAGAAATTCAGACAATCCAACAACTTCAGGAAGATTCCCCACAAGGCTCTCCACAAGGTTCTCCACGAGGCTCCCCACTATGGTCTCGTGAAGGCACTCCTGATGGATCTCACACAGATGGACAGGCTCAATTCGAAAATGTTGAAACCATGAATGAGGCTCTGCAAAAACTTATTGCCTCTCAAGTCAATAACGCTCTTCAAGCTTTTGTTAGCCAATTACATGCTGTTCCACCCACATCTACTCCAAACAACACCACTTTGGAGAATTCTCGTTCAAGATTGGTTAATTCAGGCAGCGGTGGAACCCCTAGTGAAACACAAGAGAGAGACCCAGGTAATCCAGTTAACTCTGATTTACAAAATCTAGTACTAACCTTGCAGAAACAGCTTAAGGAGCAAAATGAACGCATAGAGCAAATACCTGGAGTACCGCCGTGATCAAGGGAGTGGATATAGATAAATATTCCCAACAACTATGGAAGCCAAGTGCTGCTCCCCTCCCAATTCCAAAGAAGTTTAAGATGCCTGATATTCCAAAGTATGATGGTACATCAGATCCACGAGATCACGTTACTGCATTCACAACAGGTGTCAAGGGCAATGATTTGACTAAGCAAGAAATTGAGTCGGTCTTGGTCAAAAAATTCGGTGAAACACTCACTAAAGGAGCCTTAACATGGTATTCTCTTTTACCTGAAAATTCTATAAATTCGTTTGCTGAGCTTGCAGATTTATTTATCAAAGCACACTCGGGAGCTCAAAAAGTTGAAAAGCGAATGGAAGATATCTTCAAAATCAAGCAAGGAGACTCAGAGTTACTTAGAGAGTTTGTAGATAGATTTCAACGGGAAAGAATGACGCTGCCACGAGTACCTGACAATTGGGCAGCCATAGCCTATGCTAGTAATTTGAATGAGAAGAGTTCAGAAGCCACGAG